TACAACAACAGAAAGTGTAAGCGACAACCACGCAAGGAGCAGTTACCACATCACCTTCACAAACAACAGAACATACAACGTCTCCCGCAGTAGTTGTTGGAACTTCACGTATCGTTGTCTCTGCACGAGTTGTAGTTTCATTTGCCAGGGACGTTGTATGTTCTGTTGTTTGTGAAGGTGATGTGGTAACTGCTCCTTGCGTGGTTGTCGCTACACTTTCTGTTGTTGTATATCCAGCAGTAGTTGTTGGAATTTCACGTATCGTGGTCTCTGCACGTGTTGTAGTTTCATTTGCCAGGGACGCTGTATGTTCTGTTGTTTGTGAAGGTGATGTGGTAAGTGCTCCTTGCGTGGTTGTCGCTACACTTTCTGTTGTTGTAGTTCCCGCAGTAGTTGTTGGAATTTCACGTATCGTCGTCTCTGCACGTGTTGTAGTTTCATTTGCCAGGGACGTTGTATGTTCTGTTGTTTGTGAAGGTGATGTAGTAACTGCTCCTTGCGTGGTTGTCGCTACACTTTCTGTTGTAGTTCCCGCAGTAGTTGTTGGAACTTCACGTATCGTCGTTGTCTCTGCACGTGTTGTAGTTTCATTTGCCAGGGACGTTGTATGTTCTGTTGTTTGTGAAGGTGATGTGGTAACTGCTCCTTGCGTGGTTGTCGCTACACTTTCTGTTGTTGTAGTTCCCGCAGTAGTTGTTGGAACTTCACGTATCGTCGTTGTCTCTGCACGTGTTGTAGTTTCATTTGCCAGGGACGTTGTATGTTCTGTTGTTTGTGAAGGTGATGTGGTAACTGCTCCTTGCGTGGTTGTCGCTACACTTTCTGTTGTAGTTCCCGCAGTAGTTGTTGGAACTTCACGTATCGTCGTTGTCTCTGCACGTGTTGTAGTTTCATGTTGCCAGGGACGTTGTATGTTTTGTTGTTTGTGAAGGTGATGTGGTAACTGCTCCTTGCGTGGTTGTCGCTACACTTTCTGTTGTTGTAGTTCCCGCAGTAGTTGTTGGAACTTCACGTATCGTCGTTGTCTCTGCACGTGTTGTAGTTTCATTTGCCAGGGACGTTGTATGTTCTGTTGTTTGTGAAGGTGATGTGGTAACTGCTCCTTGCGTGGTTGTCGCTACACTTTCTGTTGTTGTAGTTCCCGCAGTAGTTGTTGGAACTTCACGTATCGTCGTTGTCTCTGCACGTGTTGTAGTTTCATTTGCCAGGGACGTTGTATGTTCTGTTGTTTGTGAAGGTGATGTGGTAACTGCTCCTTGCGTGGTTGTCGCTACACTTTCTGTTGTTGTAGTTCCCGCAGTAGTTGTTGGAACTTCACGTATCGTCGTCTCTGCACGAGTTGTAGTTTCATTTGCCAGGGACGTTGTATGTTCTGTTGTTTGTGAAGGTGATGTGGTAACTGCTCCTTGCGTGGTTGTCGCTACACTTTCTGTTGTTGTAGTTCCCGCAGTAGTTGTTGGAACTTCACGTATCGTCGTCTCTGCACGAGTTGTAGTTTCATTTGCCAGGGACGTTGTATGTTCTGTTGTTTGTGAAGGTGATGTGGTAATGTGTCATTTGCCAGGGGCGTTGTATGTTCTGTTGTTTGTGAAGGTGATGTGGTAACTGCTCCTTGCGTGGTTGTCGCTACACTTTCTGTTGTAGTTCCCGCAGTAGTTGTTGGAACTTCACGTATCGTCGTTGTCTCTGCACGTGTTGTAGTTTCATTTGCCAGGGACGTTGTATGTTCTGTTGTTTGTGAAGGTGATGTGGTAACTGCTCCTTGCGTGGTTGTCGCTACACTTTCTGTTGTTGTAGTTCCCGCAGTAGTTGTTGGAACTTCACGTATCGTCGTCTCTGCACGTGTTGTAGTTTCATTTGCCAGGGACGTTGTATGTTCTGTTGTTTGTGAAGGTGATGTTGTAACTGCTCCTTTCGTGGTTGTGGCTACACTTTCTGTTGTTGTAGTTACCGCAGTAGTTGTTGGAACTTCACTTATCGTCGTTGTCTCTGCACTTGTTGTAGTTTCATTTGCCAGGGACGTTGTATGTTCTGTTGTTTGTGAAGGTGATGTGGTAACTGCTCCTTGCGTGGTTGTCGCTACACTTTCTGTTGTTGTAGTTCCCGCAGTAGTTGTTGGAACTTCACGTATCGTCGTTGTCTCTGCACGTGTTGTAGTTTCATTTGCCAGGGACGTTGTATGTTCTGTTGTTAGTGAAGGTGATGTGGTAACTGCTCCTTGCGTGGTTGTCGCTACACTTTCTGTTGTTGTAGTTCCAGCAGTAGTTGTTGGAACTTCACGTATCGTCGTCTCTGCACTTGTAGTTTCGTTTGCCAGGGACGTTGTTGGAACTGGCATTGTAGTTGTTGGTCCTTGTGTTGCGGTTGTTAGAACTGGAGTTGCAGTTGTTGCTCCTTGTGTTGAGGTTGCTAGCAACGGAGTTTTAGTTGTGGGTCCTTGTGTTGCGGTTGTTGGAACTGGCGTGGCAGTTGTTGGTCCTTGTGTTGCTGTTGTTAGGCCTGGAGTTTTAGTTGTTGGTCCCGTTGGTGTGGCTGTTGGAACTTCACGTATCGTCGTTGTCTCTGCACTTGTTGTAGTTTTATTTGCCAGGGGCGTTGTCTGTTCTGTTGTGTGTGCTGTAAGTGTGGTAATTGATCCCTTCGTTGTGATCCCTACAGGTTCCGTTGTTGTAGTTCCCACCGTAGTGGTGAGAAGCACACGTCTCGTTGTGGGCTCAATTTCACTTGTAGTTTCAATCGCGTGGGAGGTTAGTGCTGTACTTGTGATCTCCTCAGATGTTGTCAGTTCTATATTCTGCTTCATTGTGGCTGGTCTAGTTGTCGGAACTGTACTTTCCGTTGTTATTTCATATGCATGCTTTGTAGTTTCATTATGTTGGAGTGTTGTCAGATCTGTTTTTTGGGGTATTATTGTTTCCGTGAAAAGTTGCTTTCTTGTTGTTTGAATTGCTTGTTCTCTGGTAGTCTCAAGTGCGTGTGTGGTTGTTTTGCTATCTTCTGTTGTTGTGAGTTTTTCTGCTTCTGTCTCTTCAATTGTGCATATTTCTTGTTCTTCGTTTGTTGTAGTAGTGTATGTATCTTGTGATGCATGCGTTGTAACTTTGTAATCATCACGTGTGCTTTTCGTGCTCATTGTGGAAGCTGTTTGGCTAGACGTAAATGTTGTTTCCTTTTTCGTGTCAATTGTGCTTAACACGTCTTCTTCTCCCACTTCAGTTGAACACTCCTCCTGTTCATCATTAGTTGTAGCTTTTTGAGACGACTGTGTGGTAGTAACAAAATCAGATGTAGTGATTGTTTTTTGTTTGGTAATCTCTTTTGTATAGGTTGAAGATTCCCAGTTTGCTGAGGAAGTAACAGTATTGGTTGTTAATATTTGCGGTGTTGTAGTAGTTCCCACTGGGTGATCTTCCAAAGTTGTAGTTTCTAATATCACCGGCGTGCTAATTGAATTTGTGGTGGTGGTGGTTTCTTCTGCGTTTATTTCGTGTGAACACTCCTCTTGGGTTTCACACGTTGTACTTTCATGGAGTTTGATTGTTGTCTGGGCGGCAGTACCTCCTTTTGTTCCGGTTGTTTCATATTTTGTCGTTGACATTTCCGCCGCCTCCACCGTGGTAACCAGTTCAGTCGGTCGCTCTGTCGTAATAGATACTTTCGCTGTTAAGTCCTTCTCCGTGGAGCACTCTTCTTGGCCAGTCGTAGATTCTTGTGTGTTAGTTTCGTGTCTTATAGACGTTGAAGCTGTGTATCCAGAATTTGTGTCTGTCGCAAATTCAGTGGAACACTCCTCTTGTTCAGTTTCGTTCTCCAATGTATCGCTTTTTGTTTGTCTTTTAGACGTATTTTCTACTGTTACATCTATTTGTTTTGGTGGTAGAGTTTTTGCATCCAAAGTTGTCTTATCAAGGTTCTTAGTCGTAGCTGCATTATTTGAGGATTCGGTTGTGCAATCTTCTTCTGCAAGATCCCTTGATGACAGTTGCCCGATTTCATTGGAGCAGGTTTCCACCTCGTTTATTTTTGTTTGGGGTGGTTGAGTACTACCTTCTCCGTCAAACTCTGTTGAACACTCTTCTTCTGTCGATTTTGTAGATTTAATGGATACTTCTGGTGTTTCATCGATTGAAGCGTCTGTTGAACATCTTTCACCTCCTGTGGGCTTTGTATTAGGTGTGGTTTGCTTTTCAGGACTGTGGGGGGTTTCTTCTGTAGCAAACTCAGTAGAGCACTCATCTTCTGTGCTCAAAGTTGTCACCTGTTTTAAGTGTTGTTTTGTGGTATATTCTGTTGAGTATGTTGTGTTCAGATACTTTGTTTTTGTGTTACGCTCTGTGGCGCATTCATCTTCTTCCGTCGTACTTGAATTAGATTCGCTACTTTCAAAATCACCCGTGTCCCTTAAAATGGTGGTATTAAGGTTTTTTGATTTAAATAGCGATGCCATCAACCAGTTCATGGTGGTTGAACGATGACTGTCATCAGTGTCCATTATTGTCGGTTCTACGCATGTGGTGTTCATATTTGTGCATCCGCTACTATCGTTGCAAAGATGGCACACGAGACCGTTGGGGCATTTTTTAAGGTCGCCATCCAAATAATATGTGCCATTATCATAAACGCAATCGATAAATTCTGTTTCAGATTGGCATACGTACCCATTATTGTCTGGGCACTCAATTCTTTCTTGGATGCCTTGGGCAATCTGGAAGTTTAAACAATGTGGTCATTGCATCGAACCGAGAAACACGTAAGGACAGACATAGAAACCCCGCGCTAGATTGGGGAGGTATTATTAAAGCGGCAAATTAAATGCACACCTACACCTTCCAAAAATCAAAGAATAGTGCAACTCTAGTGTTCCTTTGCCATTTTCAATTCTGGGGCTTAAAGCATTATGGAAGAGGAACGTCCATTACGTTGAAAGTCTTTTACGTTTCGCGCTTATCTCTCATTTTTTTCAAATATGGGTATTCCGTGTCCCCATTATTTAAATAAAGCGATACAGCCTAGCTTATCTGTTTGCTAATATACGTTCTCACAATTCCTGAAGAAATGCAATTCTTATCTCTGACCTCGGCTACTACGTAAAGAATAGAAGAAATATAACTCAACAGGAAACTTACCAAAAATAACAATAAGGAAATTAAAGCAAAATTAGACATAATTTCACTCTTGAACTTAACTTACTTTCACTACCACATCTTATTGATACTAAATTCAATGAGGCAAATGAATGTCGTTTTAGTTATTATCTTCAGAGGTTGGCATGTATCAACATTTACTGAGACAATTTATGAGGTGTTACTACCAGTAGATCGGAACGTAAGCGCTTTTGCTATGACATAATTGACAATAGTTTCCTGTGGAATAGGAAAACAATTATTTGCAAAAATTATTAGGAGGTCTAACAATTTCGTGGCCGTTTATTAGAAAAAATTACGCAGTTTAAATTGTTTAAGAATGAATGTTATCAGTGTAAACAAGGAATACGTCTACTTTGGACATTAACCAAATACAGAGTATTAAGTACCGTCCCTGTTTAAAATTGCCTTCAAGAATATGTAGAAAATTTTCAGTGTCCTTGAACAATTGAAAGTTAGCAAAATTGAAAATTTTAAAATTGAACACCCTATATATTTGTCCTTCAAAGTGTAGGGATACGTGAATTTTATGTTTATTGCCTTATTATTTATTTATTAACCCTAGCCTTTCGGCTTCGAGGACTTTTTGTTGTTCTTCTGTAGATATTTTGGCAAGTGTAGTGTTTTATTTCTTTGTACGTGGTATTGTAGGTGCTGTTTTCTATTCGGTTGATTTGGTATTGTAATTGATTGTCTTTGTCTCTCTCCTTCATAATCATTTGTATATTTACTCCCTCTCTCTTTAATCTTTCCGCCTCATCTTCTGCATACCCATTCCTTTGGAAATATCTTCTTCTTTCTTCTGTCCACTTTGCTTTTTTGGTCTTCTTTCTCTCCTTGAGAATTTCTTTTAGTAACCCGTTTTCTCCTCTTTCCATCCTTTTTTCGTATTTAACTGCTCTATATCCCGCTTCTATCCTCATCTTATCTTCTTTGGTTTCCTCCAAAAGTATGTAAGTTGGGGTCTCTCTTGCCAATCCTAGGATCAGTTTTAGGTATTTGTTTTGTATCCTCTGTCTCCTTCCACCCCCATATTTCTGCTCCGTACATCACTATGCTTCTAATCAGGTAGTCGAACATCATTTTCTTGATTCTATAGCTGTTTTTGAATTTTCTTTCCGCTATGCTCCATATCTGCGGTATTAATCCATTTGCTTTTTTCTTTATTTGTCTTATATGAGGACTTGGTCCTCCGTTTTTCATTAGTGTGTACCCAAGGTATTTAAATTCCGAAACTTCGACTATTTCTCTTCCTTCTTTCTTCCTTTTGTAAAAACCATTATTTTTGATTTTTCTGTGTTTATTATGAATTTCTTTCTAACTGTGTGATCAATTCCTTCATTTCTGATTGCTTTGTTGCAAGGAGCACCATGTCGTCCGCGTATGTGAATGACCATATCTTTTGTTAATCATTTTCCGCCAAAAAACAGTCTGTGTGTTTGTTATTGACTTTAACTTTACTCTTTGTGTTGCTGTCGATATTTTTCTTTTCCAAGCTCTTATATAATTCGTTCCTGTCTAGATTATCGAATGCTGCTTTTAGATCTTTTCCAGTTCTTGTTGTACTGCGTGATTTATTATGTATATGTTGTTTATCGTCCCCCTTCCCTTCCTAAAGCCCATTTGTATGTCATCTAGTATCTCCTTGTCCTCAACATCTTCATTTAAGCGGTCGTTTAGTATTTTAGCGTTAAGTTTGTATGTTGAGTTTAGGAGTATTATTCCCCTATAGTTTTTAACTCGGTTTTTAATGTCATCTTTGTTTCTTTTTTTTTGTATATTGGGCATATTTCTCCTTCTTTCTAACTTTCCGGAAATCCTCCTCCTCTCCACACCCTGTTAATTGCTGTTTCACACTTTCCGGCGCATGTATTATCATCTCATTTGTTATTTGACCTGGTCCAAGAGCTTTCTTTTTTTCATCTTTGCTATTTCTGGTTACATTTCTTCTTCCCGTATTTCTTCATCCTCTTTTTCACTTCTTCTTTTTGTTTTTTCCCCTGTGAAGCTTATCTGTCCGTTTAAACTTTGTATAAAGTAGTTTTTCGCTGCTTCTTCTCCAATATCGTCCGGTATTCCTTTTCCCCCCTTTGTTTATAAATTTCCACACTTCATTTTCGTTTTTGATGCTTTGTATTTCTCTTATTTCCTATTTTTGTAATTCTTCTTTTCTGCTTAGCATGTATCCTTATATTCTTTCTTCTTTGTTCTGTACTCTTCGCCTGTGTATTGTCCTGTTTTCCGGGCTTTTTTTGTAATTTGTTTTTTTTTTTCTTTACATTCTTTGTCCCACCACTTGCTTCTTCCTGGTCTTCAGTTGTTTATTTTTGATGTTTTTTCTGTCACCGCTTTAGTTATTGCCTTTGTGATTTCGTCTAGTGCAGCATCACAATCAGTTTCTTTGAATTCTATCTGCTTTAGATGTTTTCTAAATTTTTCTATTGTTTGTTATGTCCAGATTTGTCTCGTTTTTGTAATTTCTTTTGTTTGCTTTCATCGTTGTGGATATTGGTTGGTGATCGGGTTCTATTCTTTGGTCTACTTGAAAATTTTTTAAGTGTTCTTTCCCTTTTTCATTTAGAATAATATAGTCTATTACCGACTGCCCTCTGCTTCATATGTATGTATATTCTCCTTCTTCGTCTCATTTCACGTTTCCGTTGAGGATGTACCACCCTTTTTATTCTACGAAGTCAACCAATTCTTTCCCTTCTTTATTTGTCACGTTATCTTTCGATTTTCTTTTGCTTTCTTCTTCTGTGCGAGCGATCCATCACCCTTCCTTGCCTATCCGCGCGTTTATAATCCCCTCCAATTATTATAACGTCATCTTCCGATTCTTCTATTATGTTGTTCAGCTCGTCCACTATCCTTTTCATATTCATGTGATTGTATAATGTAAAATCTCCATCTTTTAGTATCATTTTTCTTTCTTGTATTTCATTTTCGTGTTTCCGCATCATTTTTTCAGTTTTAATCGTTTTTCCTCCTATTCCTCCCATATACAGGGTGGTCGTTCACGGAGGGTAGTATATGATTGTTCTAATATACCTATAACCAAACCAAGAAAATATTCAGAATCGTATTCGACGATCATCTAGTCCCCAATATCGTATTGGTCACTTTACGATCGATGCTGATTTTCTTTCTTAATTTCTTCCTCATTTCTGTTTTTCTGTCTAGTTTTGCCAAATTTTCTCTTTTTTTCTCTGCTCCGTCTCTTTCTCTCTAATTTCCTTATGCGGTATTCCTGCCAGCTTGAGGAAGATGCAACAGCAGATAATTTTTTCCTTTTGTTTCATGTAATTGGTAGTAGTTGGTTGGTTTTCTGAAGAACCAGAAACATAGCTTTCTTGAAAGGAGTGGGCATATTTTACTTCTCCAGATTCTCCCTTTATTGTTATTTTTTCTAATGTCTGTTTTTATCTCTGTCTGTTTCAATTGGTTTACAGTAGGTAAGTAAGGTCTATTCTATTCTACTCTGTTCTGGGGGGATACGTAGCCGGGTGGCACATGGGGTCCTAGACCTGAGAAGATCCTCTGTTCTCGTTAACCCAGCTACTAAGTGAAACATGTATGAGTGTTGCCGAGTAACATAATATGAGTAACTAGGTAATTGCCAATCCAGCCAAATAGCACGAGTGCGTTTAAATTTTTCAAGTTTAATTGGTGCATATTGAACATAACTAGAATCCTCTGAACTATGGTTCATTACTACAACGCTTAAAACCAACCTTTTTAATTTGGGGAAAGATACACAGAAATCAATTTTAAAATGTTGTTGCCATGCAGAAAACCATCCCTGTGCAGTTTTTTCTATAACATGAGCTAAGGCTTGCGTTTCAGTCTCCTCCGCGCGTTTTGTAAATTTTCCGGGATTTCTGCAATAGCATCCAATGCTAATGAAAATTATAATAGTTATATAATATGTAGGTGCTTTTATATATTTGACAGATGTATCAAGGTTATTTCCACCATTACCGCTTTGTTTATTGGAGCACTGTGTGATAATCCACCCTTATGGTTACGCAACACACCTTTGCATCTGAAACAAAAATATGACATGCTCTGTATATAACCAATCGACCGTTTTGCGCAGATGCCGTATACTAGGCGATTTTCGTAACGAAGCTGGGGGAAAAAGAGCGTGGCGGAAGAAAGAAGAGGGCGACGGGGTCGACGGAGGGCATCACGCGTTCCCGGTTTTTATTCTTGATTATTTTGGTTGTGGTGTTTTGAAGGTAATTACAGGTAAGGTAGTAACCGTTTTATTCTTTCTTGTACTAACCATGAATCATTGAATTTCTTGCCACAATTTGATATTATTTTCATTTTGCTGATTTTGCATAAACTACGGTATCTAAATATGGCTTACTCCATGCTTTTGTTTTTGGATACCGTTAGATGAATCTTGTTTGTTATACTGTATAGGTGATTATGCCATTATTTTGTTTTATTAAGTATTTATTTCTGTATTCACTAGGAGTTGATTATCAGTGCGATGTTGCTCTGTCCGATTGATTCGTAACTATTCCGTGCGGGAAGTACCTAACACAATTTGATTGTTCGGTGTATCTGTTACTTTCTTATTCTTGGCGCGCTGCAGTTCTTGTGCGTTAGCTATACGAAGGGGGGCTCTCTTATTTGATGTTTCGATGATTGTGTGTGTGTGAGTGGTTCATTTTGTCTTTGTGGAGTAGGATTGCAGTTCTTAGCATCTTAGCAATGCGAGATATTTAGTGGCCTTCTCATTAACTTTTCCTCTATTTAAAATATGTTCTGCTTAAGCGATAATCGATTCACACGAATACTTGCTATTGGCATTCTCACATGTACTTTTCGTGTTAAATTAATTTATGTTAACTGAAGGCTGGAGTAGAGCCACACCATTTTGTTGTTTCCTATGTACGTGCCATTTATTATTTTACCAGTTGTGTTATCTCAATTGATCGTACAGGTATTTTGATGTGTTTTTGTACTGAATTGATTTATCATGTTTTCCACTGCATTTATGATGTCTTGTGTATTTTGTTTTTATGAACTTGTTTAACCTTTTCGCTGCTAAATTAAAAATTCGAGTGTCAACAGCCTGTGCTAAATTAAAATTGTACAAAACGTATATTTACGTACGTCGCACTGAGAGAAATCGTCGCGCGTATATGTATATACGTCATCAGCAGATTGATTTGCAGCACCCAGCACGTGCATATACGTGCACAGCAAGGTTGGGAAGTAAAGCTCAATGTATTTTATGGGAGGGGCATGACAACAAAATGAATGCGCACATGTGTTACCTGAAACCGTTTTTAGCGTACTGGACAAAACTAAATTGGGTCGTGTTGGTACTCGTTGGAAAGCTCACGATGGTGTGCAAATGATTGCAGCACGTAGATATACGGAGGTAGCACAGACTTTTAAACAGGTACAACGTATATATATACGTACGTCGCACACAGATTCTGCATTTTCAGAATGTATATATGTATACGTGCGCAGCAGTGAAAAGATTAATTGCGTTTGATTTGATTATCTGATTTTTATCATACAATTTGAGAGGTTTTATTCATGTGTATGTTCTCTTGTATTTTATTGCTGTAGGTGATTTATTTCATGTATTTTGTGGCCTATGCCAGGGTTTTTGTTCCGTAGAAGGTTTCCCTGCTATGGTCTTGTTGTGTGCGTAATATATTTATTTGTTCTTGTCATTTCTTACGCACAAAAGTTCTGAACTGCCATCCAAATTCAAAAGTGCCGCGAAACGTCCATCGTTTCGACTTGAAAGGTAGGGTGGCTCTGCTTGTAGTTTTTCCCAGAGTTGCCAACGGTAAGTATAGGGTAAGTCAACGTTTTCAGTGTCGGCTTGATAGACCCCTACGACAATTACAATTGTTTCGATATTCCGCTGCCCGGTTGACCATAAGTTCTCAAGTTCCCAATATCCCCCGTCCCTGACGCCAGAACCACGCCGGGGAAACCAGCCCTATAGAGGGTGCCCTTTTCAGAAAACAAATGAGTATCTAACGAACAACAATTGAATTTTTTTTAATGAAAGACATCTTTTCATTAGGCTCATTTGATAGATTTTTTTTCTCTTTTCGATGATTTTTCAAAAAAATTTATTATAATTAGATCAATAACATTACTCCAGACATACTACATCAAAATAAAACAAATGACCGATTACGTTTCTTATTAAACCTTGAAGGCAAAACGAAATTAGCAGTAAAATGGTTTTCATCGTAATGAATGTTCAAAATATTCACCATTTACTGCAAGGCAGTGGCATAACCAAATCGCAAAAAACTTGAAATAAAAATTAATTTCTTCTATACGAATGATAACGTGTTGCGTCATTGACAAGAGAAAAAAATCTCTATCAAAATGAGTCTAATAAAAATGTGCATTGCTATTTTAAAGAATTCAACTGTTTTTTCTTATTCATTTGTTTTCTAAAATAAAAACAATGGAACCCTGCCTTATTATGGGAAAGAAAATGTTAAACAACTTTTATATAGACAAATTTTGTATACATTCGATATTTACCGAGATATATACTATATTCCATACATAATGGGCACCCTGTATAAGCTGCTTGGCTGCTTCTGGTGGAAAGACGATACAATGAATAACACCTTTTTGAACCTATATGCAACAGAACATACACCTATGTAGGAGAAGAAATAAACCGTATCAAAGTAGTTAAAGTCTACAAGGGGGCCGTGATAGTATAGAAAGACAAAATTCCAAAACGACGCATTAGCACATTTTCGCTATACATAATTAATAGGTACCTTTTTAGTGCATTTTCCAACGAAGTTGGGTGCGCTATTGCAGACACTTCCTCTGTTCGTCCGTCTGTCAGAGGCCTTCACGATTCCTACAGTTTTCAAGATATTTAGTTCGTTCTTTTTGCGTTCAGTAGCGTATAGCTCTGGCACCTGAGCCAAGGAAAATTGTGATGATTGAACTGCGCATGAACAGGCTGCGCAATGCCAACTTTCTTATTTATAGAGATAATTTTTTGAAATCATATCCATATATCCCTCTAGTAAAGGAAAACATATGACCTTTTGGAAAGTACTGGTCAATTCATGGAAAATGCGCTGAAGTTACTCGCCTTAGAGCGAAAACCTTTTTACTTGTTTAATTAATCCACACTTAACTATCGGAAGGTAAGTACAGGTATGGACCTAAGTTAGCTGTCCATATATTTTTTAATCTGCTTATTATTATACTTTTTCTATATTTTGTATTAAAGACCATATCCGTAATTACTGTAAAATTAAAATGTAGCTCAAATTTATTTAGAAAATATAACGCTACGCTTCTTGTTGTAGTGTACGTTGCCTACCTCTATAAAGAAGCTTTGACCGGTTCACGACAGCTCGCACAAAAAGACGGAAAAGTAGGAATTTGTTGAAAAGGTTTAATCAAATAATCAGTCAAGTAATGAAGGGTAAGGTGGGGTCTTCTCTTGGGTCTTACAAATTAGCATCGTAATCAGTTCAATCCAGGCCACCATTTTAGAATGTACTCTTTGCCATTTGCCAATACTATTCGGATTTTTTGACATGATTATGTTACCCTGAATTTGATTGTGCGTTGATCAAGTCTAATTTTTTATACCTAATTTGTAAGTTGAGCTATAACAGATAATGGAGTACTTAAGGTAGTGGTGGCAGGATACCAGAATTGCTACAATCGCCGAGTGTTCAGAAATAATTTCACTTATAATTGCACAAGAGGTTTGTATTTTATCGAGTAAATTTGGGTTGTTTAGGTAATGAAAATCTGTTGCCTAGCAATTAGATGAGCATTTTTACGTTGACAGTTTTTCGAGTTCAATTGTTAAAAGGAAACTAATTTGAATTACAACACAAATTTACTCGGTTTAAACACAAACCTCGAATGTAATTGGGCAGGACAATTTAACGAACAAGAAATTCATCAAACTAATAATTATTGGCACACGTCAAACTAGTCATATGGCAAAAGATAATGCGATAATTGGTTCGAAAATTAATAAGTGAAAAAACCACTAGTGCATTTGTCGCTGGAAAAGTTGCAGGTAACTTTTGCCGCTGTGACAATTGCTGCGGCTTATGCGGTTTTCTATATCTACATGAGTTGAATTGTCACATACAATTATGGCAAAAACACTACCATTTCAGACATAAGGCCAAATAAGAAAATCTAATCAAAATGTTATGCATTTATTGTTTGAGAGGCAAAACTTTCACTATCACTATTGCGTGCGCCGCAATGGGTGAAAATTTTGACCGCACCTAACTTAGGTATAAAGAGTATAGGTACTTGATAGTAGGTGGTCGGAATTCTTCTGGTGGGAGCTCTAAGAATTCGCCACGCTTATCGGACAATGCACTTCTTCCTTATTCATACATATTTTACGTAGTCTGTCGAAATACATTTCACCTTGGCATTTCTTCCTTATAGCCACTGGATTTGAGTGCCGACAAAGGTAGTATTCTGTACAGTCGTATTCGTTTTCGTACAGCCCGTTCGCTTCGCAAGTGAACTGCGGTTGTTCGTTCAAAGGAATTTCTATAGTGGAATACGGAGAACATTCTACATTTTCGGTCTTACACTGCAGTATTCCTGCATCAAATTTGTGTTGATTTGGACAGCGGTAGTGTTGCACGTCGTACATTTGATCGCTCGCATTCCAAGTGCACAAATAGTATCTGTTGCAGTACAACGGATGCGAATGGTACCCCACAAAGGCACATTCCAAATCTGGTTCTCCGGGGCACTGCACAGGTGATGCGGTACAGCGTTTACTTTTTGCGTCGAAATTGCTTCCGTCAACGCAATATTGTTTACTACCAAATAAACTATTGTTCAAACACAAGTAATAGATATTACAATAAACTTCATCTGGATATTTTCCAACTCCTGGACACCTAAATTCGTTATCGTCAACATAACGTGGCGAAATTATTGAACGAGAAAACATTTTCGTACTTAACTTTGGAGGATTTATTATAACTGATGTTGAGATACTATCATTTGATGGAATTACGACCAGACTTGGAGTTGAGTTTGGTAATGTGATTACCACAGAAGGATCGCAATTGAAACCACAATTTGTAGGATCCACAGGAGTAGTCGATATGCACTGCACACCTTGGCAACCATTAATTCCCGTACATTTACCCACGTCGTCTGTGTTCATTATAATGGTAGTAGAATCTCCAACATCAAGCGTCACAGTGGACTCCCCTATTTTGATAATAACAGTTACGGTGTCACAAGTAGATTCTTGTATGGTTGCGCTTGAGTTACATTGGATTGGAGCAGTTGTTGTTACAGCAGGAGGCTTAATTATAGGGCATTGGTTGTCAGGAGGTGTTGTAGGTCCCATAGTTGTTGGAACTGGTGTCGTTGTTGTTAGCGCTGGCGTTGTAGTTGTTGGAACCGGTGTGGTAGTCACTGCAATCGGTGTTGTGGTGGTTGGTTTCGGTGTTGTGGTTGTTGGAACCGGTGTCGTGGTAATTGGAACCGGTGTGGTGGTAGTTGCAATCGGTGTTGTGGTGGTTGGTTTCGGTGTTGTGGTTGTTGGAACTGGAGTTGTAGTTGTGGGAACCGGTGTTGTGGTTGTGGGAACCGGTGTTGTGGTTGTTGGAACGGGCGTTGTAGTTGTTGGAGCAGGTGTCGTGGTTGTGGGAACTGGCGTTGTAGTTGTTGGAACCGGTGTTGTGGTTGTTGGATCCGGTGTGGTGGTAGTTGCAATTGGTGTTGTGGTGGTTGGTTTCGGTGTTGTGGTTGTTGGAACTGGAGTAGTAGTTGTGGGAACCGGTGTTGTGGTTGTGGGAACCGGTGTTGTGGTTGTTGGAACGGGCGTTGTAGTTGTTGGAGCAGGTGTCGTGGTTGTGGGAACTGGCGTTGTAGTTGTTGGAACCGGTGTTGTGGTTGTTGGATCCGGTGTGGTAGTCACTGCAATCGGTGTTGTGGTGGTTGGTTTCGGTGTTGTAGTCGTAGGTTTTGGTGTTGTGGTTGTTGGAACCGGTGTCGTGGTAATTGGAACCGGTGTGGTGGTAGTTGCAATCGGTGTTGTGGTGGTTGGTTTCGGTGTTGTAGTAGTAGGTTTTGGTGTTGTGGTTGTTGGAACCGGTGTCGTGGTAATTGGAACCGGTGTGGTGGTAGTTGCAATCGGTGTTGTGGGGGTTGGTTTCGGTGTTGTGGTTGTTGGAACTGGAGTTGTAGTTGTGGGAACCGGTGTTGTGGTTGTGGGAACCGGTGTTGTGGTTGTTGGAACCGGTGTTGTGGTTGTTGGAACCGGTGTGGTGGTAGTTGCAATCGGTGATGTGGTGGTTGGTTTAGGTGTTGTGGTTGTTGGAACTGGAGTTGTAGTTGTGGGAACCGGTGTTGTGGTTGTTGGAACCGGTGTTGTGGTTGTTGGAACAGGTGTCGTGGTTGTGGGAACTGGCGTTGTAGTTGTTGGTACCGGTGTTGTGGTTGTTGAAACCGATGTTGTGGTTGTTGGAACAGGCGTTGTGGTTGGAACCGGTGTAGTAGTTGTTGGAACTGGAGTTGTAGTTGTGGGAACCGGTGTTGTGGTTGTTGGAACCGCTGTTGTGGTTGTTGGAACTGGCGTTGTGGTTGGAACCGGTGTTGTGGTTGTTAACACAGGAGTTGTTGTTGTGGGAGCCGGTGTTGTGGTTGTTGGAACAGGTGTGGTTGTGGGAACTGGCGTTGTAGTTGTGGGAACAGGAGTGGTAGTTGTTGAGGAGCATTGATCATCAACATCCGTTGGACAGTCATCTATAGTAGTTTCTGCAGTGGTGGTTTCTGCGGGCGATGTCGTTGTTGGATTTGATGTAGATGTTGGAACAGGTGTTGTGGTTGTTGGATCCGGCGTTGTAGTTGTTGGAACTGGTGTTGTGGTTGTTGGAACCGGAGTTGTAGTTGTTGGAACTGGCGTTGTAGTTGTTGGAACAGGTGTCGTGGTTGTTGGAACTGGCGTCGTAGTTGTTGGAAGTGGTGTTGTGGTTGTAGGAACTGGCGTTGTAGATGTTGGAACCGGCGTTGTAGTTGTTGGAACTGGCGTTGTAGTCGTTGGAACCGGTGTCGTTGTTGTGGGCACTGGTGTTGTAGTCGTTGGAACCGGTGTTGTGGTTGTTGGAACCGGTGTTGTAGTTGTTGGAACTGGCGTTGTAGTTGTTGGAACCGGTGTCGTGGTTGTGGGCACGGGAGTTGTAGTCGTTGGAACTGGTGTTGTGGTTGTTGGGACTGGTGTTGTGGTTGTTGGAACTGGCGTTGTAGTTGTTGGAACTGGCGTTGTAGTTGTTGGAACCGGTGTCGTGGTTGTTGGAACCGGCGTTGTAGTTGTCGAAACTGGCGTTGTGGTTGTTGGAACTGGCGTTGTAGTCGTTGGAACCGGTGTCGTTGTTGTTGGCACTGGAGTTGTAGTCGTTGGAACCGGTGTTGTGGTTGTTGGAACCGGCGTTGTAGTTGTTGGAACTGGCGTTGTAGTTGTGGGCACTGGAGTTGTAGTCGTTGGAACCGGTGTTGTGGTTGTTGGAACCGGCGTTGTAGTTGTTGGAACAGGCGTTGTAGTTGTTTGAACTGGTGTTGTGGTTGTTGGAACAGGAGTTGTAGTTGTTGGAACAGGCGTTGTGGTTGTTGGAACTGGTGTTGTGGTTGTTGGAACTGGCGTTGTAGTTGTTGGAACTGGTGTTGTGGTTGTTGGAACAGGAGTTGTAGTTGTTGGAACAGGCGTTGTGGTTGTTGGAACTGGTGTTGTGGTCGTTGGAACAGGAGTTGTAGTTGTTGGAACTGGTGTTGTGGTTGTTGGAACTGGCGTTGTAGTTGTTGGAACTGGTGTTGTGGTTGTTGGAACAGGAGTTGTAGTTGTTGGAACAGGCGTTGTGGTTGTTGGAACTGGTGTTGTGGTTGTTGGAACCGGCGTTGTAGTTGTCGGAAGTGGCGTTGTAGTTGTTGGAACTGGCGTTGTAGTTGTTGGAACCGGTGTCGTGGTTGTTGGAACCGGCGTTGTAGTTGTCGGAAGTGGCGTTGTAGTTGTTGGAACTGGCGTTGTAGTGGTTGGAATCGGTGTTGTGGTTGTTGAAACTGGCGTTGTAGTTGTTGCAACAGGCGTTGTAGTTGTTGGAACTGGTGTTGTAGTCGTTGGAACTGGTGTTGTGGTTGTTGGAACAGGAGTTGTAGTTGTTGGAACTGGTGTTGTGGTTGTTGGAACCGGTGTTGTGGTTGTTGGAACAGGTGTCGTGGTTGTGGGAACTGGCGTTGTAGTTGTTGGAACTGGTGTTGTGGTTGTTGGGACTGGTGTTGTGGTTGTTGGAACCGGAGTTGTAGTTGTTGGAAGTTGTGTTGTGGTTGTTGGAACTGGCGTTGTAGTTGTTGGAAGTGGTGTTGTGGTTGTAGGAACTGGCGTTGTAGTTGTTGGAACCGGCGTTGTAGTCGTTGGAACCGGCGTTGTAGTTGTTGGAACCGGTGTCGTGGTAGTAGGCACTGGAGTTGTAGTCGTTGGAACTGGTGTTGTGGTTGTTGGAACTGGCGTTGTAGTTGTTGGAACTGGTGTTGTGGTTGTTGGGACTGGTGTTGTGGTTGTTGGAACCGGAGTTGTAGTTGTTGGAAGTTGTGTTGTGGTTGTTGGAACTGGCGTTGTAGTTGTTGGAACTGGCGTTGTAGTTGTGGGAACCGGTGTCGTGGTTGTTGGAAGTTGTGTTGTGGTTGTTGGAACTGGCGTTGTAGTTGTTGGCACTGGCGTTGTAGTTGTGGGAACCGGTGTCGTGGTTGTTGGAACTGGCGTTGTAGTTGTTGGTACAGGCGTTGTAGTTGTTGGAACTGGTGTTGTGGTTGTTGGAACAGGAGTTGTAGTTGTTGGAACTGGTGTTGTGGTTGTTGGAACTGGCGTTGTAGTTGTTGGAACAGGTGTTGTAGTTGTTGGAACAGGAGTTGTAGTTGTTGGAAGTTGTGTTGTGGTTGTTGGAACTGGCGTTGTGGTTGTTGGAACTGGCGTTGTAGTCGTTGGAACCGGTGTCGTTGTTGTTGGCACTGGAGTTGTAGTCGTTGGAAGCGGTGTTGTGGTAGTTGGAACCGGCGTTGTAGTTGTTGGAACTGGCGTTGTAGTTGTGGGCACTGGAGTTGTAGTCGTTGGAACCGGTGTTGTGGTTGTTGGAACCGGCGTTGTAGTTGTTGGAACAGGCGTTGTAGTTGTTGGAACTGGCGTTGTGGTTGTTGGAACAGGAGTTGTAGTTGTTGGAACAGGCGTTGTGGTTGTTGGAACTGGTGTTGTGGTTGTTGGAACAGGAGTTGTAGTTGTTGGAACAGGCGTTGTGGTTGTTGGAACTGGTGTTGTGGTCGTTGGAACAGGAGTTGTAGTTGTTGGAACTGGTGTTGTGGTTGTTGGAACTGGCGTTGTAGTTGTTGGAACTGGTGTTGTGGTTGTTGGAACTGGCGTTGTAGTTGTTGGAACAGGAGTTGTAGTTGTTGGAACTGGTGTTGTGGTTGTTGGAACAGGAGTTGTAGTTGTTGGAACTGGCGTTGTGGTTGTTGGAACAGGAGTTGTAGTTGTTGGAACTGGTGTTGTGGTTGTTGGAACTGGCGTTGTAGTCGTTGGAACCGGTGTTGTGGTTGTTGGAACCGGCGTTGTAGTTGTTGGAACTGGCGTTGTGGTTGTTAGAACCGGTGTTGTGGTTGTTGGAACTGGCGTTGTAGTTGTTGGAACGGGAGTCGTGGTTGTTGGCACTGGAGTTGTAGTCGTTGGAACCGGTGTTGTGGTTGTTGGAACCGGCGTTGTAGTTGTTGGAACCGGTGTCGTGGTTGTGGGCACTGGAGTTGTAGTCGTTGGAACCGGTGTTGTGGTTGTTGGAACCGCTGTTGTAGTTGTTGGAACTGGCGTTGTAGTTGTTGGAACCGGTGTCGTGGTTGTGGGCACTGGAGTTGTAGTCGTTGGAACCGGTGTTGTGGTTGTTGGAACCGGCGTTGTAGTTGTTGGAACTGGCGTTGTAGTTGTTGGAACCGGTGTCGTGGTTGTGGGCACGGGAGTTGTAGTCGTTGGAACTGGTGTTGTGGTTGTTGGGACTGGTGTTGTGGTTGTTGGAACTGGCGTTGTAGTTGTTGGAACTGGTGTTGTGGTTGTTGGAACTGGCGTTGTAGTTGTTGGAACTGGTGTTGTGGTTGTTGGAACTGGCGTTGTAGTTGTTGGAACTGGTGTTGTGGTTGTTGGAACAGGAGTTGTAGTTGTTGGAACTGGCGTTGTGGTTGTTGGAACAAGAGTTGTAGTTGTTGGAACAGGAGTTGTGGTTGTTGGAACCGGCGTTGTAGTTGTTGGAACTGGCGTTGTGGTTGTTGGAACCGGTGTTGTGGTTGTTGGAACTGGCGTTGTAGTTGTTGGAACCGGAGTCGTGGTTGTTGGCACTGGAGTTGTAGTCGTTGGAACCGGCGTTGTGGTTGTTGGAACCGGCGTTGTAGTTGTTGGAACTGGCGTTGTAGTTGTTGGAACCGGTGTCGTGGTTGTTGGAACTGGAGTTGTAGTTGTTGGAACTGGCGTTGTAGTTGTTGGAACCGGTGTCGTGGTTGTTGGAACCGGCGTTGTAGTTGTTGGAACTGGCGTTGTGGTTGTTGGAACTGGCGTTGTAGTTGTTGGAACTGGTGTTGTAGTCGTTGGAACTGGTGTTGTGGTTGTTGGGACTGGTGTTGTGGTTGTTGGAACTGGCGTTGTAGTTGTTGGAACTGGTGTTGTGGTTGTTGGAACTGGCGTTGTAGTTGTTGGAACTGGTGTTGTGGTTGTTGGAACTGGCGTTGTAGTTGTTGGAACAGGAGTTGTAGTTGTTGGAACTGGTGTTGTGGTTGTTGGAACAGGAGTTGTAGTTGTTGGAACTGGCGTTGTGGTTGTTGGAACGTTGTAGTTGTTGGAAGAGTTGGTTGTTGGAACCGGCGTTGTAGTTGTTGGAACTGGCGTTGTGGTTGTTGGAACCGGTGTTGTGGTTGTTAGAACTGGCGTTGTAGTTGTTGGAACTGGTGTTGTGGTTGTTGGAACTGGCGTTGTAGTTGTTGGAACAAGAGTTGTAGTTGTTGGAACTGGCGTTGTGGTTGTTGGAATAGGAGTTGTAGTTGTTGGAACAGGAGTTGTGGTTGTTGGAACCGGCGTTGTAGTTGTTGGAACTGGCGTTGTGGTTGTTGGAACCGGCGTTGTAGTTGTTGGAACTGGCGTTGTGGTTGTTGGAACCGGTGTTGTAGTTGTTGGAACTGGCGTTGTAGTTGTTGGAACTGGCGTTGTGGTTGTTGGAACCGGTGTTGTGGTTGTTGGAACTGGCGTTGTAGTTGTTGGAACCGGAGTCGTGGTTGTTGGCACTGGAGTTGTAGTCGTTGGAACCGGCGTTGTGGTTGTTGGAACCGGCGTTGTAGTTGTTGGAACTGGCGTTGTAGTTGTTGGAACCGGTGTCGTGGTTGTTGGCACTGGAGTTGTAGTCGTTGGAACCGGCGTTGTGGTTGTTGGAACCGGCGTTGTAGTTGTTGGAACTGGCGTTGTGGTTGTTGGAACCGGTGTTGTAGTTGTTGGAACTGGCGTTGTAGTTGTTGGAACTGGTGTTGTGGTTGTTGGAACTGGTGTTGTGGTTGTTGGGACTGGTGTTGTGGTTGTTGGAACCGGTGTCGTGGTTGTTGGAACCGGCGTTGTAGTTGTTGGAACTGGCGTTGTGGTTGTTGGAACTGGCGTTGTAGTTGTTGGAACTGGTGTTGTAGTCGTTGGAACTGGTGTTGTGGTTGTTGGGACTGGTGTTGTGGTTGTTGGAACTGGCGTTGTAGTTGTTGGAACTGGTGTTGTGGTTGTTGGAACTGGCGTTGTAGTTGTTGGAACTGGTGTTGTGGTTGTTGGAACTGGCGTTGTAGTTGTTGGAACAGGAGTTGTAGTTGTTGGAACTGGTGTTGTGGTTGTTGGAACAGGAGTTGTAGTCGTTGGAACCGGCGTTGTGGTTGTTGGAACCGGCGTTGTAGTTGTTGGAACTGGCGTTGTAGTTGTTGGAACCGGTGTCGTGGTTGTTGGAACTGGAGTTGTAGTTGTTGGAACTGGCGTTGTAGTTGTTGGAACCGGTGTCGTGGTTGTTGGAACCGGCGTTGTAGTTGTTGGAACTGGCGTTGTGGTTGTTGGAACGGTGTTGTGGTTGTTGGAACTGGTGTTGTAGTCGTTGGAACCGGTGTTGTGGTTGTTGGAACTGGCGTTGTAGTTGTTGGCACCGGTGTCGTAGTTGTTGGCACTGGAGTTGTAGTCGTTGGAACCGGTGTTGTGGTTGTTGGAACCGGTGTTGTGGTTGTTGGAATCGGTGTTGTAGTTGAGTAGTAGAGGCATTGTTCTGTGGTGGCTATAGATGTCATTTCTATGGGTGGCGTTCTATCTATTAATGAAGCTACTAAATCCATAGGCGGTGGTATTGAAAACTCTAAATCCAATTGTTCTACTGAATGCAATAGGCGAGTACGTGAAACTGGAATGGTTTCACTATCTGGTGAGTTAAGTATAACTGAACTTTGTAACTCTCCCTGTTCATTTATAACGTCTGGATCGCAGCTATTATTACTTTGGGTTTCCGTGAAGACAATGGCGCCACGTATTTTCGTTTCAGTGCCATTCCCAGTATCGTTTGTTAAAATCTGACTTATCATGGACATATTCAATAGCAATTTAACTTTTGGTTGTCCATTTTGTGGCAATAACTCAAATGAATTCCAAGTGGAACTCTTTAGTTCTTTCTCTTTATTACAGGCAAGAAGTGTTGTCACCACCACGTTACTACTACTGTCTAAAGCTAGCGCAGTCCGAGGAAGTGTGTTTGTTGTGTGGTCGCCGTGTGTACCATCTGTGTCGTTGAATTCATTCTCGAAATTGGAAGTGACGTTTTCAGTGCTGGCACTTTTTAGTATACTCTGCAAAACGAACAATGACAATTTTAACGTTTTGACGCGAAATCGTATTATTAGAAGGTTTAAAAGTTGTGGGGTTGAACAGATTTGTCTCAAATAGAGAAGTTTAGCCACTTTGGTTGGTTTGTTTGGTTGGTTTGGCCTTTCTTAAATTTAGAATAATTATATGAGTTTGGTCTTTAAATGAACTTGCTTACTTTATTAGCATACATGTGGATTTGTACACCAAAAATATATTTTCCACTGATAGATATTTAGATCAAGTAATTATGTATTCCCGGAATTTTCATGAAACCTTTATTTTCATGCCAACAGGAAATTTTAATTGCCATGACAATGACAGACGACAGTTACTTTGTTCGCGCATGCAATTCTGAACTGATTCTGAACAAATTCAGAATTGACGTAGAGCGCATGTCTAGTTATGAACCGGTCAAGATTGTATTTTACCGTGAACGATTCCGGATTCGAACGAGAACTCGTAACGTCATACCTGTCAGAACGTGACGTCATAGAAATTGTGGCTTCAGAAATGCGGTTCAATTTCAACTTTTTTCGAATCATCTGGCCACCCCTAGATATAGGTTACTCTGTTAGATAAAAAATATGTAACTCGTCTTACAATTTTGAACAAGGCACTTTTAGTAATATTAAACCAGTCGGAAACTTCTCTAAATGAAGTTGCCTCGTTTGCAGAAAACCGCAAGAAAACAGTTATGTATTTAAGTGGTGTAACCTTATCACAATTGGCTTCCTGCCATTTGAAATTTTCCGAATGAGCTATTTGATTTGCTAACTCTTCCGCCTTTTTATTTTCGATTTATCGAAAATGCTCGATGTATTGCTCAGCAGTGAACTGTGGCAGCACTTCCTCAAAATAGCCACTAGTTTTAGGAACTACAAATTTCGTCGCTAGATCATAAACGGTGTGATATGGTCGATTGGCTGTATAAGTTTTTTTTTTTTGAGTTGGATCCATCGTTCCTCGAAATGGGGGTTGAAATATATTGTGTGATCAAAACTCTCTAAACCTTCCCCATATAGTTTTATTCGTTGAAGTTTTTTAAAAGTAAAAGCGACTATAGTTTCGGCGTACTGCCATCATCAGGCGATGTGAAAGTTAACAGGAAAACGGTAAATTACAAACGTTGAAGACGAATAAGACGAACATGTTGTTTTTTTAATTATTAACTGGCCGAAGCCAAGTGAAAAACCTGAAGGGTGGTTAAAACGGAAAGGTTGTCCTAAGTTTCAAGACGAATTATTATCAAGCCTTGTTAAGACAACCAACCGGAGGGTTGAATTATTACATTAAAGTTGGATTAACACATTTCAAAAGAACGGGGGGGAAAAATAAACTTATAAAAGTATGATTGTCAATCATTTCGAGACATGCCGTCTGCATGATCTCGAATTTAAACTTTACTTAAATAATTTAAATATGTAGTCATCTCAATAGTTTCAATACTTTTATAAGTTTATTTTTCCCCCCCGTTCTTTTGAAATGTGTTAAATCCAACTTTCAACTTTTAATGTAATAATTCAACCCTCCGGTTGGTTGTCTTAACAAGGCTTGATAATAATTCGTTTTGAAACTTAGGACAACCTTTCCGTTTTAACCACCCTTCAGGTTTTTTCACTTGGCTTCGGCCAGTTAATAATTAAAAAAAAAAACAACATGTTCGTCTTATTCGTCTTCAACGTTTGTAATTTACCGTTTTCCTGTTAACTTTCACATCGCCTGATGATGGCAGTACGCCGAAACTATAGTCGCTTTTACTTTTTAAAAAACTTCAACGAATAAAACTATATGGGGAAGGTTTAGAGAGTTTTGATCACACAATGGCTGTATAAGCACTGTAAAACTGTATATAGATGAGTACTGTTTGCTACACGATTATCGGTATTGCGCATGAACAACAAAAGCTGAAGACTTTGGGACCTATTCTGAATCAAAAATGGGACATTACAATGTTATCCTCGAAAACGGTATTGTTAACAAAGATCCTAAATTCGTTAATCGCGAACGCTACTTTTTAGACTGCGCATGCGTATCGCCCCTGAACTGCTTCAGAATTGCATCTGCGCACAAAGCTAGTAACATTCCTGGCTACCTTTTCTCCCGCTTCGCCTGTCACATTGGTAATGTCTAATGATTCCTGTCATTACTGACACAATGGGGATTTACGATAGGTAATTCAATCGTTTTAACCGGAATGGTAGAAATCACCATAGAAACAATTGTGGCAATAATTGTAACCATAGCAAAATCTACCTAATCGGTTGAATTATCGTAAATCCCCACTGATACCACAACCATCTATATTTACAAACCGTGCTGAGAATTATGGCAACACTGCAGGTAGGGCCGATTACCGAATTCAACTTGACAGATTTCGGGTGTATTTTGGGTGTAATAATCTTATTTACCTGTTTTAACACAGTGAAATTGCGACGATTTGCGTTACTCCGTATTGAATCAACAGACATTATTATTCAGGTAAGTTGCTAAACGAAATAATCGATTTGTTGTCATAACCTCTAAAGCAGGCTACTCATTATTGGACACTACAAGCACTTGTATTTATTCAAGTACATGTACAGTGTGCCCCATTAATAATGGTCACAGGCTATATCTATGGAACCGTTAATTGCACAGCTTCGGGAAAAAAAATTTGTTAACAAAAGGGGCCAAGAGAAATCGCTGGAAATTATTTTCAAGTTTCTAACTTCGCCGCTAGAGGGCGTATGATTCATGGTTAGGTAGAAAAATGACTTTTTTCCTAAAATATACCCAACAAACATGCATAAAAAATACATGCATAGTAATCTTGTACCAATTTTGCATCATTTTGATGGAGCACAAATTGCTCTAGCTCATTAAATATCAGGAGTGGGGGAAGGGGAACATCTCTTTAAGGAATTGATTGTAACTTCGGATTAGGTTAACAGATTTTCACAAAATAAGCCTTGTTGGAAGGAGCTCTCTTCGCGGAATCAGATTTTATTAAATAGAGTCTTTTTAGTAAATGTGATGAGTGGTAGAGGGCGCGATGTGACATTAACATAAACTTTGCAGGTTTTTTTGGTAATTTCAAATGGAATGATATTATTATTATATGATCAAATAAGGTGAAATAGTGAGAATATCAGTGAAAACCGGATTTTGATATCTGTTTTCTAACCATAGATCTGGCGAAAATACGAATACATTCACAAATTTTAATTGCAATATTGATGCTCATTCAAGTTGGCTTTGAAACAAAAGAAAACAGAACAAAAGAAAGTTTATCAGTCCTTTCATTAAACGTATTCGTGCGATTATCACCACGATGGGTGCCCGGCACATTTCTTGGTAAGCGAGAGTCGAGGCGAGAGTGTTTGAATTTGAGTTATCCTGGCAAATGGATAGAAAGAGGAAGTATTTTTTCATGACCAGCTAGGTCACTCGACTTAACTTGCTTAGACTTAAATTTGTTTGAAAGGATAAAAGACGCACAGTTTTTCTAACAAGGCCAACTACAAGAAACGATATGGTGACGAGAATTAGAAATGTAATTCATAGTCATGGCTGAAGTTAAAGCAACTGTTCTCTCTACACAGCAGAGACTCCTCTTTGTGTCGAAAATAATGGCAGACATTGAACATTTACGTTAATTATAATTATTATTTGTTTTATTATTTACTTAATTCATATTTCTCTGATTTAAAGTTTGAATCATTTTTTTGTTGCTCATAATTAAAAAACTTAGATTGAGTGTTAATTTTGAACTGCCATCGCCTCATTCACTTTGACATAATTATCGGTTGCTATGTGTTCATTTGTTTCAAATCCAACTTGGATGAATATAAATATTGCAATTAAAATTTGTGAATGTTCGTATTTTCCCCATATCTCTGCTTAGAAAACAGATATCAAAATGCGGTTTTCACTGATATTCTCACTTTTTCATCTTATTTGATAATATAATATAATAATTATATCGTTCCATTTGAAATTTTTAAAAAAACTTGCAAAGTTTATGTTAATGTCACATCGCGCCCTCTACCACTCATCACGTTTACTAAATAGACTATCTTCATGTAAAATCTGATTCCACGAAGAGAGCTCTTTCCAACAAGACCTATTATGTAAAAATCTGTTAACCTAATCCGAAGTTACAATCAATTCCTTAAAGAGATGTTCCTCTTCCCCCACTCCTCATATTTTATGAGCTAGAGCAATTTGCGCTCCATCAAAATTGATACAATATTACTATGCATGTATTTTTTATGCATGTTTGTTGGGTATATTTTAGGAAAAAAGTCATTTGTCTACTTAACCATGAATCATCGTACGCCCTCTAGCGGCGAAGTTACAAACTTGAAAATAATTTCCAGCGATTTCTCTTGGCCCCTTTTGTTAACAAAATTTTTTCCCCGAAGCTGTGCAATTAACGGTTCCATAGATATGGCCTGTGACCATTGTTAATGGGACACCCTGTACAAGCTCAAATATGATCCCGATGGAAAACACATTATGATGCAGTGACCAATTTACAGCGTTCCGAACTTTAAAGTCAAATAAAAATGTTATTATCCATTTTTGTAAATGAATAAAATAGATGTACCTACAATAGGGATTTACAGTATAGTTGAATTCCGTAGTTCTAATTTAATAAGCGTATACCTGAAACAATAAAACAATTTTTTGGACAGTAAAAGTTTATTTCAAAATATTGACTGATTAGAAAAAAAATAATGAACATATGCGGTAATAGGGGTTTATTCAAAACGAGATGGTTTTGGCGGGATCCGTGACGTAATAAGCCCGACCAATCAGCTGCTAGAACAATTCAGATGACATCACGACTTGGCAATATTGCAGGAGAATGTCATTTGTAACTTGCGTCACCTGACACAGGTGCGTGTCACTTGTCATTCACTTTCGCGTTAGATACAGTTAAACGTGCCTCTTAAACCGCCAATTCCGACAAACGTCGGACCCTCGCACAAGGTTGCCGGCTCACTTCTACGTGATTGGTTGTAGGTTTGTGACGTATTTAGACTGAACCGTTTCAAATTCGGACTAAAAACGCAGCTTTTCAATAATTTATTTTGGGTTTATTTTACTCGAAAATAAAAATTGAGGATACACGGGTCTTTTTATTTTTAATGTAATTTGTAGATCAGAAATAAAAAATGAAGCCGAAAGCCCCCATTGTAAGCTGCCTAAGTATCTTTCTTCGGTATTAAAACCACCAAGGCGAAACACAGAAGAGAGGAAAAATGCAATTTTTCAAGAGCAACAAGACGCCATTAAAACTCAGCGGCCCTCCGATTAACTTTCGGACAACGTTGCCAAACATCTCAGCATGTCTTGTAATTATAGACGGCTGTGCTGATACTAATCAAAAGTTCTATATTTGAAATTGAAATCTCTATACTGCCTAAGGAACGACTTTACCGTTTTCATTCATCTTTTTCTAACACTGTGTATAGAAAGTTCTTACGGAAAAAAAGCTACGAAAATTGGGCAACAAATTTCGGAAAACTTCAACGAAGATTTAAAACTCCGCGCGTTTGCCAGCTAGCGCCTTCGGCAGTTCGCGCGCCGCAAATGAACAGTTGCATCGGTCGGCATCTATCAATAATCCATTAATTAATTCATTTCTTAGTGCACAATCCACTTGATCGAAACGTTTACCTACACAGTTTTCAGTGAGGTTTTTGAGAAGTGTTTGTTCCAAAAGCAAAATAAGGGCCATAGTTAGTTCACCAGATTCAAGATAACGTCGACTATCCAACGGAATTTTTAAATTCGCTGGAATTCCCCATAATCTGCAATTAAAAGCTGGATCGTTAATCATTATGTTGCGGAACATAAACCAGCCACGTCTTTGTAATGGCGCCCCGCAGGCGGTGATGAAATCTATCAACAACTTCATCGAAGTCATAGTTTTGACAGAGACGTCTTTAGACGAAGAAGTTTTGATCCCACGCATCCCTATTGTGCCGAACGACGGTTACAATTTCCTGTGTGCTATAAGTAATTAAATGGTAAAAGCAGTCGTTAGTGATTTTGGGGTCAATCTGGAAAATCCATGTTTTTTCACATGGCCAATTTTATGTCGCCTATAAGTTCTCGTGTGGAAAAACCTTTAACATTATCTATTTATGCGATAGAAAACAAAACTAATAATATTACGTATCAAAAAACATTGAGTACAATAAACACATGTTTTTGAAATATTTTTTTCTTATTATTTATTCCAGTTTGAATTTAATATTCGTAGGTAGACGGGACAACGTATATCGGGCCAACTAGTTTTATAATAAAAAAAATGATTTCAGGTGAAATGTAATACAAAACTCGTCAGTAAAATGACACTACTTGAATCGGAAATAAAAGTACTCGGCTCCAAAGCGGCCTCGTACCTCAATATTTCCTCGCCCTTAATGTGCCATTTTCCTAGCTTATGTCAATATGTTAACTAAAATTTCAAATTTTGTTTGTTTACATAGGTATATTTCGCAAATGGACGTATAAAAATGCGACACGTTTTATACATGGTAACTTTATACCTTTTCGTCTTAATGCCACTCCAAGGAGGGGTCAACAAAAGACCCTACTACGTTTCCCATTAAAACATAATGATTATTATTAATTAATTGATGCTATCCAACTTTTTGCAGTTTCTTTATCTAGAAGCTATCCAGATATTTGGTGTATTAATTAGTAATAAAATCAAAAATTAATAAAATCGAACTCACCAAAATTATGTGTATTACTATTACATAGTTCTTCTGATTTTTTCCCATCAGAATCATCTTCTCGCATCTCACTGATATTACGTTCTGTAGCAATACTTAAACGTTATCTCAAGAGATACCTGGCTATTTATTTTAACCTTTGTAGGAATGATTTATGAATGTATTTTAGTTTAAATCACACCGCACGTTCTCTTCTTATCGGGATTTGATTTGTTGTGTCCTATTGCAATCAAATAAACACAAAACCAGTGGTTTAGTCTTTTGCACTGTTTGAGTACCTATATATTTCCGAATACTGTAAGTGCATCCGTCAACTTACTATGCGATGCGTATGTAGGTATCTTATATAGGTACCTTGGGAGTTCTAGGAAGACTTTAATCATAAATTTAATCAGATTTATTATCTTTTTTTTGCGTAATATAGGTAAGTACATTTTCATCAAAATTGTTTCACTATGTTCCTAGTATTCTACTAATGGGCATCAAAAGAACAAACTGATCATAACTTGGTGGCGTTATTTTCATTCTATGCACTTGTGGTCTTCAATTTTTCCCTGATCAATTTGGCACTATCAAGGCGCATTGTAAATTTTTTATTTTTTTTTATTTTGCCTTTATTTTTTTGAACTTAATTTATTTGATTGAGAACATCAGTAGACGAAGACTGCACTGTGTAAACACAAACAAGTTGCTCTGGCGCTCAGTAGTTACCAATTTTAAATCGACCTTTGCAGCGTTACTAATTGGGATGTGCACAAATTAAATTCTTCACCATTCAAAGGCCAGGTACTTAATACGTGTAATGACCCTTTACCTCTTATCTGTGTTTTAGCGCTATACATACGTTTTATTCTATACTTACAACCGATAACGATGTCGCAATAATTGCATTCTGCAAGTATGCATTTCTATATATAGGTATCCAACATTCCTTTTTACTCACTTCCTAGTCCGATTATGTAATTATTATTTCATATAGTATTGCGGTAGCAATTAAGTGGCTCTCTGACCAGATCGGCCCGGTATATTTCGGTGATTAAAGAAGCTTCCAATGAACGTATGCCCTAAACGTTTAAATTTTTGAGATACAGGGTGGTACAGTTTAAAAAAAATCAGTTTTTTAATAATGACAGAGATAATATTGTAGACATCTTTTTCAAATTTGGTACATGTCTTCTATGCATCATCTGATGTGTAAAAGTTTTTGAACTTGAACTTGAGCCAAGGGTTGCTTTTTATTTTTTAGGGAAAAAAACTACCCCTATTAGAAAAAAATCGTATAATTGTAAATTAAAGCGAGTAATTGATTCAAATCATCTTATAAAGGAGTGAATAAATATTAATTAACATTAAACAACATAACTTAAGATTTTATCACAGTTTAACCCCTAAATCTTACTTCTAAAATAGTTATAATTAAAACAATGTCATAAAATACTTTGACTCCACTGATTTGCATGGAAATTTGAATTTAGGTTATTCTTACCCTCCACTTCAAAATTGGACTTGTGCCGTTGGTTACTGTTTATTTTTTAGGAGTGGAAACTACCCCTATTAATCATAAAATTGTAAATTCAAGCAATTTGGGATTATTTAATTATACAGCAACATTAAATTTAGATTTCTTTGCTATTTTTATTTTTTACCACATAATTTCTACCCCTTATAAAAACGAACCCCTTGCGAAGAAATTCGAATAGTTGATGATACTATATAGTACAGTGTGTAAAGCGATGGGGTATACAAGAGGCAATTTTTTTTAAATATTGATTTATGGCAAAAATTTATTCTTTATGATATTTTTTGCTTGCTTTGAAAGTATCAATAACGTTTCGATTGTTTGTGTTTTGATAGCAATAAGCCGCGTACAGACCGGATTCCAACGCCAAGCCAACGAATCCAAACACATGTGACGTTGGCGTTTGTCGTTGGAAACGATTGGAATGCCCTAATCCACACCAAAATTTAAGATTTGAGTTGGACTTGGTGGGACCGTGTTGGGTAAAGTTCGGTAACCGGTGCTGCTGGTCTGTCAAACAATGTCAAGCGACGAGGACGATTTACTGCTGGCGAGTACGGAGTTTTTAATAATGAATTCTTTAATTTCAAAGAAAAAGAAGAAAAAACGGCCTAGGCGTTGGTGGGCAACAACACCATTTAAAAATAGGAGTTTGTATAGTGGCAGTCACTTACTAGAGGAACTTCAAAATGAAGATGGTGGACAAAAGGCAGACTAACGACTAAAAACAAAAATCGCGACAAATCCTGTCCAGACCACATCAAATTTCCCTCGAAATTTCCCTTTGATGTACCGCCCACCGAGCGAACGCAATCGAACTCCAACAGCGTCGTTGGAAACGGTTGGAAACCGTTGGCTTGCGCGGTACACACCAATCCCAACACCTCCAAATCTGTAACCACATGCTTGCGTTGGAAACTCGGTCTGTACGCGCCTATACGCTATTTTGATCATAATGTAGAATAACTTTCAATAAAAAATTAATTTTATTATTTTTCCAGATTTCTATAAACAAATTTTAGATTATCGAAACGTTATTGGTAGGTACTTTCAAAGCAAGTAAAAAATATCATGAAGAATAAATTTTTTTCATAAATCAATATTTTAAAAAACATTCCCTCTTGTATACCCCATCGCTTTACACACTATATACAGTCATCTTTTTAATTAAAAGGTCTGTGCCTTAATAGCACATGTGTATCTTACAATGCTCCAGTAACTACACGCGTTTTGATGTATTAAATATGTGATTGGTTTTTACTCATAAATCGGTTATTTTTAAGCTACGAAGTGCTTTAAAAAACCATTTTGTAGGTTTTTTAAAAGCTATAAGAATATTCAAATTTATTATTTTAAACCCTTATTTTTGAAAGGATTGTAGTTGAAAGGGCTCGAATGAGTCACTAATGACGAGTGTATGCAAACTTTGAACAGCCATATCTTAACCCATTTTTGTTTTACAGAAAAACAAAAAAAAGAAAAATGTTCACAAAAGCAAAAGCTACGTTTTTTTATTCTTGTAAATTTTTTGTATCACTAATACTTTTGAAGTTATTTTGAAAAAAAGGCAATTTTTCAAAATTTCAAAATTTTTTTTACTTCAAAACTACATTTCTTCAAAAATAAGCACTTTGCACCGGTCAAACTTACAGATGATATAAACAATACATAAATAAAGTAAACTGTAAAGCGGTAACGCTTAATTACAATTGGGGTGCTAATTAGGGGGTGATTTCCTCGATTTTTTTACCAAAAAAAAAGGACCAACTTTATTTTGAGCGCAACTCACTTAGTTTTGATGCTAGAAACTTTTCTTAAAAACAAAAAGAAAGGTTTTTTAAACACTTTAAAAAAGTATTCATAAGTTTACCCCGAAAAGTGCTTCATTTTTTGGTTATTTCACGTTCAAGTACTCAATTTGGAATTTGACGAATGAGAACCTACTTTTCATGAGCTACAACTTTGCTTCTACTGGGTCTACAGACTTCGTATTATAGACCATTTTGTTTCTTTTTTTATAAGCTATACTAAGAAGCTATGCTAAGAATACTTTTTTTCGATACAATACTTACTTTTAGAGTTATTTGCGAAAAACCGTCTGAAAACGTGGTTTTTTTGTTGAAAAATGAACATTTTCATCCGCAAATAACTCGAATACTATTGACTTAGTGAAAAAACTCTATAGAACAAAAGTTGCTTAGAATTACTCAATTTTTTCCTTATTTTGTACGTATCTTCCCCCCCCCCCCCGGGCTCAAGTTCATCTTTGAAGTAGAGGGTAGGAGGAACCTAAATCCAAATTATCAAGGAAATCCGTTGGGGCGCGAAAAATTACACGCCAAAACGGTCATTTACTGGCCTATCTACAATATTATTTCTGTTACTATTTAAAAAAATGGGTCCAAGAATCACCCCCTTAAATATTATCATGTTTTTAAGGAACACCCTGTATATACTGTTTGATAGTACATAGTAGCTATTGTGTCGTAGTCAAGTGGTTTCTTGTGGACATCAATGATGTAACTTTCTGTTGAATCATATTGTAAGATTTTACGGTTCCGTTCTTACGTTCTTACGGCTACGAAACTATAAATTCGGCTTTAGAGCAAAATTGTACACAATTACCGCCGGCATGTTTCTAAAATATTTTTTATCACCAGGGGGATGCTGTATTCCAGTGGTGTATCAAACTTGCATTTTTTAGCATTCGAAATCTGTGAATTTTTTTAATGAAACACCCCATATTTTAATTAATTTAAGTACTTATTTTTTTATATAACATGTTATTATACCTTTAACGGTTTCGCTGTTATAACTTGTTTTCGTCAAAATTTGACAATTTTTCGGAATATTTTGTGGGAGAAATTAAATCGCCCAGGCGGCTAATTTTTGGACTGAGGTACAGGTTAAGACCTCTTCCACAATCACCTAATTTTTTAGGTATTTTATCGAAAAAATAAAATTTTTGATTGACCTGATGATTGAAATGTCATATTTTTTTAAAATTTTAAATGGCACCCCTCTAAACAAATTATACCTTTGGGTATCCAAAACTACAAATTATCCACTGATAAAAACAAAACCACAGATTCCATAAGAAGATTTCAAAGAAAAAACAAGCCGAAACGTCATTTTGCAAAAAATCCTTATTTTCCGAGCCCAAGTCTGCCATAATGAAACAAAAGATGTGATAAACCGCAAGAGAAGAAAAAAAAATTCACAATTTTATGTAGATTAGGGTTCCCTTTCAAAGTTTCTCGTAGCTCTACAAACAACAAAGTTATGGTAAAGAAAACCGAAAAATGTCATTTTCAAAAATGTGCTGGAGTTCATTTATTTTCAATGATATCTGGGACTCGCTCGGCATTGCCATGAACTCTGTATTTTATGATCGAAACCGTGCAACAGGCCCCAGAAGCTGTCTCTACGGGAGAATCCGAGCTATGCCGAACTCGCCTTCGGCTCTTTTGCCAATTGGTATGTGAATGCGGACCATTTTCGATGTGAAACCGACGAGCTCAAGGTATGCATTGGTATAAACTCTGCGTTTTGTGACCGGACCGGACGGATTTATGTCGAT